TTCTACACCTATTCTATCTATTTTGTAGAGTAGGTTGATTACTTAGCCTGTTGATTCAAAATCTGTACGTTAACTTCGGCAACTCGATACGATCAAGCGAGAGATCTGCACCCTGAAGACGGCTGCAATAGGAACATTCGAGGCCAATCGGGGCCGTTTCTGGTTTCTTATAGCCAATTAGCCACGAACAATGCGGCCGCCTTAAATTATTTTCAGCTTGCGATAAAGGTGATACGCGGCGGAGAGCGGTTAGTTTAGGAGAGCGTCTACATGTCAGGACCTGATGATTTTAATCTAACTGCGTTGAAACGCGATAAGAGATATGTTCTTTTTTAGCGACAAGAAGCCTGTTGTTTTTCCACACCAAGTTCTGACTGACATACATTGATGCAGTAAGTTAGAGTGAGACAGGTATAATTTGTTTCACTCTATAACAAATTGCACTAGTTCAGAACTAGTTCAGAACTAGTTCAGAACCCTTTTCCGGAAAAAAAAAATAAAGAAAAGGATGTTAAAACCATTATCTACAATATTATACATATCTATACGTGTATATATGTATATATGTATAAGCGTAGTAATTGTACTTTTAATCTAAGAATTGACCAAGCACAGTCGAATATTTGTCTCATATATTCAACCGTATATATATATTCAATCGATTAATTCTTACAACTTACAACTACGCTGCAATATATTGTAGAATGGGCTTTATGGAGTTGTTATGATGCGACCACAATAGAAAGAACAAGGAATAAGGATTCCAACCTATCAGAAACCGTGTATTCCGATGTATCCGATATCTGATAGATTGAAGTTATTATTCCTTATTCTTTCCATTGTGACTGTACCTTTATCGTATACGCGCATCGGTTTCGCTTTACTTACCACAAAGATGAAATTAAATATGAAGAGCAGATACTTAATCACTCCCATTCCACAACCCATTTTGATCGGTCTTATGATACAAAATACGAATACCGTGATGTGAAGATACCGCTTCGAGCGAGGACGAGAAGCTGGAACGGAATCACACGTGTCACGCGCACACAACAAAGCAATCAGCGACTATACGGTTTAACTGTCCGACTCCAACTGAAATTACATTCAACTATTCAAGCGACGCTCCGCGCAGCGCCAGCAAGCGCCAGTAATACCAGTATATGACGACGGCCGCACGAATTCGCCCGAAGTTGACCGAAGGCGATTCGCGGTAGAGTGACTAGAGCGCTGAGCGCTTTAGAAGAATACTTCAGATAGTGACAAGCCAACTCATTTAGGGGCTGTACACAATAGCAGGAATGAGGAATTAGGAACAAGGATTTCAACCTATCAGAAACCGTGTATTCCGGTGTATCCAATATCTGATAGGTTGAAAGCCTTATTCCTTATTCCTTCTATTGTGGCTGCACCTTAATGATTTCATCACAGAAACCGTGTATTCCGATATATTTGATTTCTGACAGATTAGAATTATTATTCTTTATTCCTCATTCCTTCTATTGTGAGCAGAGCCTTAGGCTAACTTTTTAAATGTAAAAATATATAGAAATTTGAGAAATATATAGAAATTTTATAAAAATGTGATATATTAGATATAATATTGTTATATATAAAGTAGAATAAGGATGAAATCACACAGTGCGGAATAGCGAGAGAGAGAGAGAGAGAGAGAGAGAGAGAGTGCGTCATTATTCTTGTAATAAATCGTCATATTTTGAGAGGTTAACATAATTTGATGCAGATTGATATGATGAAATTGCGTAATGTCGAGACGAATAAAGAAAATGACAAAATTTGAGTGCATAAATAATAGATACCAAGATAAAAAAAACAATGATGCATTATGTGCAATTTCAGTGCCCTTTTCCGCACGTTTCCATCGCGTCAGTTTTGTACGCTATGCGTATTCACTGCACACAATGCGAAAAAATGATAGTAAATGCGTTAAAGCAGTTCAAAAAATTGTTATAAAATTGTAAATATTAATTGTAAAATATTAAATACTACAACAGTGATAATTGTTTTAACAATTTGAAAAATTATATTTTATTTTAATAAGCGAATTATTAACATAAAGTTAGTAGTTCTTAAATTATATTCATGCTGGATACATCTTTGACGCATCATGTGAACATAGCACACAAAACTTGCGTGATAGAAAAGTGCGGAATAGCGCTGATTGGTTGCTTCAATGACGCATTCTCTATTTCGCAGTCATTTTCCGCACTGTGTGATTTTATCCTAAGGAGGCCTAACTATATGGATTGGAAGTGGTCATGAAAAATGTTTCGTATCCCTGGTGGAAAAATTTCGCTGAAATTATTTCACGTTTTAGAACACTTTTCGGCAAAATTTCAGCATTTCAGAAACATTTCAGTTTGATTTCAGCGATTTTTAGTTGAAAAATTCATTTTTAGAAAAATTTCAGCAAAAATTTCGGAGAAATTTCAACAAAATTTTAGAGAAATTTCAGAATAATTTCAGTTCAGTTTCGATTTTTCAGTATGTTAGCTGAAAAATTTACTTTCAGTGAAATTTTAGCAAATTTTCAACAATTTCGCTGAAATGTTCTAAAACGTGGAATAATTTCAGCAAAATTTTTTTACCAGAATATTGCCAGTCAGATTGAATGAAATAACTTGCAATACTTCACGTCATATTGCGGATAACAGCTAGTAAAAATACATGGGATGCGATCCATTTGGCGCTACAAATGCTTTGAAACGTTTGATTGATTAATCAGAAGAATTTTATTAACTGACTAATCAAAAAATGCTTCGAAGCATTGTAACATCAAGTGGATCGTAGTCATGATGGGAAGGTTATGGTCCGTATTCAGAACGCGCTTACAACGATGTTAGTGTGCTAACATGCTATAATTTACGTTACGCATACTACAGAATTTTAGAGATAAAAGCACGCTTTTATCGATAAAAGCTCGTTCTGAATACGGGCCTATATATGTATGTAGGGAAGATATATATATCGGAAGGTTATATATCACTAATTAGTTGACATTTGCAGGCTTTGTCATATTTCTGACAGCAATTTGATGACAATGCCAATAATACAAACTCTATGTATAATTGAGTCTGTCAGTAGGCTTCGTCGACAAATCCGTACAGCCAAATGCGAACACAGGCCTAGTTTACACCGAGAGTTCGATCCGAGTCAGAATGCAAAAACCAACCAACTATAGTCGATCATTCCCCTGTTACAGTCGAATGACAAAGGAATGCTCGACTGCAGTTGGTTTCCAGCAAACGAAAATGGATTGAAATGGATTGAAAATTTGCAATCCATCCGAATCCGTATTTTAAATCCATAATAATGGATTGGATTCCATATAAATATTTTTATATGTGTAAAAGTTTAAATAAATTAAAGTAGTAATTATATGAAATTCTATATAGTTATTATTTTAAAACTTTTATACAAAAAATATACGCTATATAATAAAATAATGCATTAATATAAAATATATATAAAAGCAATTAATTTATTAATTAAAAATAAGGAATTTATATAAGTAACATTTATTGTATATATTTACGTAGTTCTTTTTATATTTCTTTTAACTATTAAATGAAAGAGAATTCTCATGATATATTTTTACCACTTTTTTTTAACTTATTGTCAGTTGAATTAAAACGAAAAATTTCTTATTTATATTTCTGAATAAAATAGCGTTCATAATGCATTTTTAAATGAAACAATGGATTTTCTACTCACAATTTTAAATTGAATAGTATTTATTTTAAAAGAAAAACTTTCTTTTATATTGAACTGAATTAAAAAACTGCATTTCCTATTCAGAATTTTAAATTAAGCATTCACGATGCATAGAAATGGCCGATATTATTTTTAGATTCAATTGAATTGAAAAAGTGCATTTCGTATTCAGAATTTTAAAGTAGTATTCATACCCACAAAATACTATAATATTATTTTTAGATTAAAAAGCATAGAAATATACTTCATGCCATTCTTATAAATGAATAAAAATGCATTCAGGATTGAAAAGGATTCATTTTAACATTCATGAATCTGTATTTCTAAAAATCTGAATCCATTTTAATTCATTTCAATCTATTCTCGTTTGCTGGGTTCTTACATTACGACTCGGATCGAACTCTCGGTGTAAACTCGGCCACTAATAGCTATGATTTTGTAATCAAATCAAAATCTGATCAAGTTTGCTTTCAATTTGATCCCAAATTGTTAATATTTTGTCATCAGGGTATAATGTTCAAATGTACATACTTAGAAAATATACCCATTCTGATTATTAATAGAATAAAACATTAATAGCTAAATATTTATATTTATTTCACATGCAAGCAATTTTAGATTATAAAAGCTGAGCTTAAATTAAACTTTAATATTAAAATTGATGTTAAAGATAATTCTATAATTTTTATCCAAATTGTATCATTTAATTACAAATAAAATGTAATTAAATTATATTTATTTTAAACAATATATTACAAAATTACTATCAGAAATTCTATTGAACTTTACTAAACAGATTAAACTCACTTTTACACTTAATATAATTCACTAACATAATTAAATGTGATACTATACATATATGTGTGCTCAATATGGCTACAAAATATTACAAGTTATTTCGTTCAGCAAATAACTTGACAGTATATAGCCATACCCGGGATTTAACTGTTACTTTAAAGTCCCTCTAGTAAGGAGTCAAATCATAAGGAGTACTAAAGAGTCTCACAGAAAACCTCCTTGGCTCTCTAAGGGGTACCAATCTCTGATTGGTCAGATTTCGAGTCCCTTTAAACGTCGCCATCTGTAGATACTTTCGATGTGGTAGTGAATCTGTGAATTGGTGTGAGCAACTGTTTCATGATATAGAAGGCGCGAACGCGAAATCGGACTATCAACTATCAATCATAGTGGAATTGTACTGTTTCCGACCACTCGGCAATGACGTCCTTCCGGTCTTATGTCTTAACTTTTACTAGAGGAACTTTATTGTTGCTTTATTTTGAAGAGCCTCTATGTCCACAAAATGTAGTAGACATTGAACTACGTAGACAACAATATTTCAAGAATATTTAACATTAGCCGAGTATATATCACACTTTGACGATAGTATTTGAATATAAGACTTAATTAAAATTTTCAGTCTTTTGGACGCGCTGCCATGTCTGAAAGATATGTTTTTCTCTCGTCTGTGCAATAAAACGAAGAGCGAGACATTTTCGATAAAATCTATTAGAAATTTATTCAAATAAACTGAAAATATTATTTCTGTAATGTGTTTTGAGAAATTATTATTCTACAAGATAAAAAAATATACTTTATTACATTTTAAATTTTTATCAGCTTTTTAATTAATTTTTATATAAATTACATTTGCATTAAAAGAGGAAAATATATGAGGGGCAATGATCAGATAATAACAGAATTATTTAAATATTCTTTTCTTTCATAGTATATGATTCTACAAAAATACACAATCATACTTCTTATATAAAATAGTTTTCATTTTCAGTATCGATCTCTCAATTTTTAAAAAATTATAAAAGATTTACATGATATATATTGCAAATAACGAAAAAAGTTTAAATAAAAAAATCAGCGAAAAATAAATTTAAAAGAAAATTTTCAAAAGAGATTTAAAATAAAAGATATATAGATAAAATATAAACTAAATAATATTATAAATTAAAAGATATATAGATGAAAATAATAGGAAAACTACATTCGCGTAATTAATAATTATGTTATTTTTGTCGTTTACTCGTTTGATTACGTTTTGTTTTTTAATCGAGGATTGTACAAATATTTCTGGATAATGTAACATTTGAAAATGATACATTCATACCAGGTGCTTAATATTATTCTACCGTGTTTGTCGATCGTTGATTGATTGAGGCATTGCATTGTGCACTTCATTATCTATTCAATAATTGTACTAAGAAATATGTTAAGTACAAATTAATTGCCTCTATTAATAATTTAGTAGGACCAAATTAAACTTGTTGAAATATTTGGTACCTTTTTATATTAATTTGTTTCATTAATAGAAATAATTTGTACACAACATGTCCAATTTAATGTTGTTAATTTAGTTTTGCTAGCTAGAGATTAAACTAAATTAAAGGCCTCAAAAATGTAAATATGGATTTTG